GCCCAGAAGCATGCTGTGCCCAAGAAGGCCGTCAAGAAGAGCGTGCCGGCCGCCGCGGGGAAGGTGGTGAAGGTCACCAAACGCAAGGCGTACACCCGGCCGCAGTTCCGTCGCCCGCACACGTACCGCAAGCCGGCGACAGTCAAGCCCAGCAACAACCTGAGCGCGATTCCGAACAAGTGGGACGCATTCCGCGTGATCCGCTACCCGCTGACCACCGACAAGGCCATGAAGAAGATTGAGGAGAACAACACGTTGACCTTCATTGTGGACTCGCACGCAAACAAGACGGAGATCAAGAAGGCCATGCGCAAGCTCTACCAGGTGAAGGCGGTGAAGGTGAACACCCTCATCCGCCCGGACGGCCTCAAGAAGGCGTACATTCGCCTTTCCGCCTCGTACGACGCTCTTGAGACGGCCAACAAGATGGGCCTGCTGTAAGCGCACGAGGGGGCATGCGTGTAGAACGACAGCGTGGGGCGGTGTTGGTGACAGGGCACGTTTTGCACCCTCGTAAATGTGTTTTGTTGCACGCTCGCTTTGAGTTGCCTTTCACTGGTCGGCGATGAAGAGGAAGCCAATTTAAAGGTTTTTTTTTAAAAAAAATTCTTTTGGTGTCATTTAAAATTTATTTTTCAAAACTCAAGAAAAAAGGGCGTCTTGGCGGTTGTTGGCGGTGACGTGTCTCTTTTGCAGTGTGCGCCCGCTTGTGCTCTGGACGCGGGGCTTCGCAGCGGTGCGTGAGCTTTTCAGGTGTATTGCCTGTTGTTTCTGTTTTTCTTTTTTTTCTTTTTTGTTTTTAATGTTCATGTCGTGTGGGCTGTGGGGCGGCTGTTAAACAACAAAAGGCAGAGTCACGTAGTGCTGCACAAGGACGAGGGACAGAAATCTCTCTGGCGGGGGGTTGGTTTATACATTACTAATCTAAAGCGTTCTGCTGTAAGGCTTATCCCCCCCCCCCTCGCTCTCGTTCTTTTGGATTCAGTGCGTCCATTGTGGTTCGGGTTCGCTTGCTTCTTCGCTGCCATACATCCTCCGCGTGGGTGTGCCTGCACCGTGGAAGGAGGGGGAGCGAGCGGCAGGGAAGACGACCGACGCAAGTGCACGGAGAGGGGACTGGGGGACGCGTGCCGGCTTGAAATCATATAGAAGGAAAGAGTGGTGTGAGGTGACTGCGGGGGCCAAAAAGCAAAATTCAGACACGGCCACGGTGAAAAGTACACACACACACACACACACATCGAAAGCTAACAGCAAACCGAAAAGAGTGATACATATATATATTTAGTGTGGCAGCGAACTTCTGTCATTTTGTGTTTTTATTTTTAGTGGCTTGTTTTTCGTGATGGACAAAGTGTCTATTCTGCACGCATTTCCGAATGGATCAACGTTTTTGGCGGATGTCTCTTCCTCCATCCTACGAAGGCCAGTCGTATCCCTGACGACGCATGATGGTCCTCATGCCATCGCCTCGGACGTCAGCCACGAGGCGTTTATGAGTGCGCTTTCCGCGTTGATGCCCGCATCCCAGTCTTGGGTCCACGATGCTGGTGGGGAGGATGAGTTAAGTGTGATACGTGTGGTCTCCATCACTGGCTCGGTGGATTTTCACAAACGCCTCATCGCAGAGTGCGAATCATACTGTCGCCTGTGTTGGCGTCTACAGCATGCGGTTGATTGGGTACTTTTGAGGGAACCAGTGCATAAGAATAACACCACCTCCAAACTGGCGCCCTCCCACGCTTCCGATGTGGATTTGCTCTCTCATTTAGTCTACCCTTTGGAGCCCACGGCGTTCCTGGCGGCTGCCTTTGCTTTGCCCCCGTTAGTCGCCGTAGCATCCTCGTTGCCAGAAGATGAGGATCCTGCAGCAAGCGGAAGGCAGAATGGGTTGCGCTCCTCGGAGTCCTCACAAACTGTACCGTATTGCTTTTTCTACAGATGCCCAGTGCTACGTTTGTTGCAAGGAGATGCCGTTGGGAGTTACTCCCGTAGTGGTTGCGGCGGTGAAGAATGCCCCTCGGAGACACCCAGGATGACTTTGATGGAGCGCATCGCTTCCGTCGCCAGCGTGGCTGGTGTCTGTGGGTGTGTCTCTCCGCTCCACAGCACACTAAGCGTGCGCAACCGCACCAAGATTGGGCTTACGCTCTCGGCGTACATAGAGGGCTGTCTGCCGCTTTCAGTGACCACCAATGGTGACGGTGCATCAGTGGCCGTAACGAGGGAAGGAGAGGATCCGTTTTCGCGCTGGAGGGACGATATACTGTGGCGTCTGCTTGGGTTGCTGGTGTCGGCGCTGGCCGTGGCGCACGCGTCTGGGTTTCACTTTTGCGGTGAACTTTCCGCTGATGACATTCTTTGCTTTGCGCTGCCAGAGGGCGACACCAATGGCTTTGCCCAGGAGACACTCTCGCATGAGGGGAAGCAGGACCCCAAGTCTATGGGCCAGCGCCTCAGGGAGTGGGTGAAAGGAAATCAAGGGAGTTGGCTTATTACTGATGCCACTCCAGCACACCACGCCTTCTTTATGTTCGCCACCCTACCGCGGTGTCTCTTTATGGAGAAGGCAAAAACACCGTCTGACGTGGCGGCGGCGCAGCGACGCGACACCGCCGCTGTTGGTCGTATTCTTGTGGCTGTCGTGGAGGAGATGAAGCGTCGGCGCGGGGCGAACGGGGTGAACAGCTGCTCGGAACTTCTCTTCGTTGCCGAGCGTATGGCGGCTGTGGAGGGGGGAGGTGGGAGAATGTTGGAAGCGGAGGCCCCAGCCCACCGCTTTTCGCAGCTGCAGGCCGTACAGCTGCGGACCTACCTCTGGCTGCTGCGTGCCATTGTTGAGGAGCGCGACACTCAACTCGCCGCAGCCCTCCTTCATAACAACAGCGCTGTCAAAAGCAAGGAATCGAAGCTGCCTTCGGCAGCTTCGCCGCTCACTGAGGATAACATGGCCTTTCTGGAGCAATTGAAGGAGCGGGACCGTCTACTGAGCGAGCGGGAGAAGAAGTTGGATCGCTTCCTTCACCTATACGAGCTGACAGCTGAGCGCCTGGATGAACTGCCAGTGAGGCGGGACAGTTTTGATCACCTCAGACGGTCGTTACTGTGCACACCATGTTCTCGGCCCACCGCAACACCACGAACACCTCCAAACACCGCATCGGCATCTGCACCCATACCGCCAGCAAGGGTGCGGCAACCGAATACAACGTCTACGCGACGTCCTGCGACAGCGGCAGCGACGGAGGCCACACCGTCCGATCGAACTGGTCCCCTCTATGGTCTTTTGCGCTCTTCACGGGAAGACAAGGCAGGGGCTGCTCCGGCTCCAGCTTCCAATACCGCCCCTTCGTCACGCTCCATGGCGGCTGAGTTGGGTAGTGAAAGACGAACACAGGACGTGACCCCACGACAACGTGTACTTAGGGTATCACCGGAGGCCGTGTCAGCAAGCTCGTCGTCTCTGTTGCACCTGAACTGGAATGCAGCGGGGAACACGTGGATCCGCGAGGGTGTGACTGCTACGGCGGCGACCGCCAAATCTTCCCGCACGTATCACCCGAGGAGTGTCTTGCCTGGGGACGTTGGCCGCCCCCTTACTGCCCGAACCCAGACGTCTTTCGCTTTTGCGACGGCAGTTGCAGCAGCAGCTACAGCCGGGAAAGGGGGAGGAGTTTCTACAGTGGAGGGAAAGGCACCAGCAAAGCTAGTGCCAGCGCGCCGTGCAGTCTTACCCACTGCAGCTGCTTCCAGTGGGGCACACGTGCGATGCATGACACCAACGCGGGGTCACGGGCAGGCGTCCATCCTGCTCTCACCAGGCGTCTCCCCGCTGGCACATGTGACAGACGACAGCTCCTCGTTGCTTCTCGCCACGGGGTACAAAACGCCTCCACCAACGAAGTCCATCTCTGCTTCGCCACAGTCACGTGGTGCCACGGCAGTCAATGTGTGGAATAGACTGTCGATATCGCATTCGGCGAGCAGCACAACACCGGGAGCTACCCCGAGGCACATGGAAGAAAACTCTTCTTCACGTTACGCGAAGCACCTAAAACTGGGCTCTGCCTCTGATTTGGGACTCAGCCCGGTGTCTGGGCACTTGTCAGGAGCCACACCGAAGGACAAGACACCACGTTACAAGCCCTCGTTGTACGTGTCGCCCCCAAAGGGGGCGACGGATTTATTCGCAACACCACCATCATCGACAATGAAGCGGAGCAAAACACTGGCCTTGAGTGCGCGCAGCCCTCTACGAAAGTGCGACACCAGTGTTCAGGTGATACGAATGCGCGACGATAGCGGGGACTCTTGCTTGAACACTCCTCGCGGTGCGCCGCTTACGCGACACCGTGGCTACGGCGTCAGCGGGTCTATAGGTGCAAAAACGAAAACCCCGAATGCTGGCTCGCTTGATGGCACGCAGCGCCTTCGTTCAAATGAAGATTTGCTCATCTCGAAGTTACTCAATGACTCCAACCCTGTGGCGATGAGGCAGTCTGGCACCCCTCAGAGGAGCACACCCGGGCGTCCTCAGTCCCGTCAGCGTCAGGGGCAGGAGGAAAACGCGACGCCTCGTGTTTCCCGTCAGCGCCTTGCCAACGATGGCTGGGTGGATCACAAGCTCGAGGCCCTTGAGCAGCTGCGCTATGACTTCCAGCAATCAGAGCAGGTCAAGAGTGCACGGAGTCCCCCCAGGGGCAAATCATTTACCAGAAGCCCCAAGGAGCCGAATGCTGCTTGCGACTGGGGGGCGTCCACGTTGCAAGCAGATCGTGGGAGAAACGCGGACGCTTCTGCATGGGGTGACATAATTGGCCAACCTGCCGCGCACGCCACCGGTAACGACAGCAAAAGCATGTGTTGAGGTTGCTATCGGGGCTCGGTGGCAGGGGGATTCCTCCAGCGACTGCCACAACCAAACAATCAAAAAGAGGAGAGAAAAGAAAAAAAAGGAAAAGCTACAAATGAAGGCCAAAAAATCAGGCACGCATGCATAGAAAAAAAAAACAAAGTAGAGGGAAAACGGGGAGGAGGAGGTTGACGGTCTTCACTTTGTCTCTCATTGCTGCCCCGCTGTATCTGCTGCATTGATGATGTAGATAAACTGCAATGCAAACACGAGAGAAGAGGCGCACGTGTCCAGGGAGTGAGTGAGAGTGATGGATGAAGTGCGGGCAGCAAACGGTCTTGAACCAATTTGAAGAGTTTAGAAACAAAACAAGAAAAGAGGAAGATGGAGAGGAGGAGGGAACAAGATGAGAATTATTTTGCTTCTTCCCCCCTCCCCCCCCCCACCAAGATCGCTTCTACACCTCGTTTGCCTGCATCACGCGCGGCTGTATTTTTGTGTTTGTGCCTCTCATTATTTCTGCACAGCGGCAAGCAAACCGCAAGTGGATCTTTTTTATTTTTATTTTTGTTTTGTTTTTGTTTTGCTGCTTTGATGCGGAGGGTGGTGATGCATGTCTGTATTGTCCCTCGCCCCATCTCTTTGCACGATGTTGGATGCCTTTTTTTTCTTCTTCTTCTTGTTTGGCTGCACGTGCATCCTCCCACTCCTGCCCTTCCATTGAATGAGACGCCGCCAAGAAAAAAAAATCCACAGGGGAGAGGAGCGGCGACAAACACAAGCACGCACAAAGGGGCCAAGCCAGAGAGAAAGGGGCCGGCAATTGCTTCCGTAGCTGAGAGCGCCGTGTTTTTTTTTTTTTTTCATCCCTCCGAGATGTGATTTGAATTGTTGTTGTTTATTTCTTTTCCATTTCCTCAATTCGTTTTTCATAAATTTTATTTATGACCCGATGTGCACGCTGCCCACCGCCATTTACGCCGTAGTTTGCTGCTCCTGCACCCTTCTAGACTACTTTTTTTTCTCTTATTTTGTATTTATGGCGCCTACTCGCTTTTTGTCATGCGCTCTTTGATTTGTGTGCTGAAAGCCGCCGTGCGAGTGGCCAGCAGGGAAGGGCAACGGGGGCGGTGAGGTGCATAAATGGGAGCGCGATGAGTTTTATGTCAGTGTCGCACCTGCCACAAAATTACCGCCACAACTGGCCGTTTTTTTTTCTTTTTGTGTGGTTCTTTTGTCGCCACTCTTCTCTCGACATATTCTCGGCTTCAAGGCGACCGCAGCAGCAGCACTACAACAAGTGGTGCGGAAGGCAGAAGACGGGGAAGATGGAGGACGATATCGTGCGGGGCCGGTGTGCAGCCGTCGTTCAGCAGCTTCTCTACAGTGGAGAAAAACGGACAGTGCGACGAGAGGATCAGCAGCGTCTGATTGGAGCCGCTGCGGAGGAGCTGCGGCAGCGTGCAATGCTGATATACCGCCTTTGTCGCGCAAAGCATGAGAAACTCGCGTCGCACCAAACTGAAGACGCGGCGTACTGCGTGTTGGCGGCCACTTCCTCCTGCCAGCCATCGCTCTGGGCCGTGCTGACTAACTGGAGCCGGGCGCTGCGTCCACGAGCCCCGGAGCTGCGATTTGGGGCCCCTGTTCTTGTGACAGTGCGCCTGAGGGAGGTGGAACAGTTCATCACTCGCGGTCTTCACCTTCTCCCTGCATCGAGCGCAGAGGACGCCTGCCCACCGGCAAAGGGCGGCAGCGCCACTTCGACGTGTGCATCGCTGATGCGTGGCGGCACGAGGAAACACCCACGTGAGGGGGAACACACCCCGGCGGGGAATTTAGAACCAGAACTCGCAACTCAGTTGGCGTTCGACTACTTCCAGCTGAACGTAACGAACTCAAAAAAATTCTATGCCGTTGTTGCTGCCTACCAGAAGGAGCTTGGTGTGAAACTGCTAGATAACAGGGAAGGGTCTGCTCCCACAAGAATGGTGACTTTGTGTGGTTCAAGGAACAGTAGACATGGTGTGCTGGATGGCGATGGTATCAGCGTCAGCAGTCACGATAACATTTGTTATGCCGGTGGCGGCTCACTCCCTGAGGAGGAAGAGGAGGGCGATGTGGGCGAGTATTCGCTTCTGTTCCCTCCAGCATTATCATCGTCTGTGACATTTGGAGATGCATTTTCTGTGACGTCGCTTCGGTCATTTACTTCTTCCATGAGTTTGATTGCAGTCGCCGATAAGGTCGAGGCGGCCTGTTCCACGTTGTTTTTTGAGCGCCTGCAGCGCTGCCTGCGAAACCCCTTGCTGTACTCCCCATTGGCGACCATGAGAGAGGCCAATGCCAGCGTGTTTGGTGTTGCACAGCATCATCCGCTGCCCGAATCTCAACTCGAGGCTGCCTACTTGCGTGCCTGCCAAGGCGCCATGGTGGGAAATGGCGGATTACTGGCCTTCCCCACGCATTTTCTACACCCACTTCGGGCGCATCCAACGTCGTTGATGCCGCTGCCCCTGCAAATGGTTACTGTGCAGCAGCTGTGGAGGCGGCTGCTGGTGGCGGGCCTGTGGCTACATGTGGTTGGAACTGAAATGGGTGACGCCCACACACAGCCTGAGGTGGGCGCCTACTGCATTACCATCGTGGGGGCGTCGCGACGTGAGCTTTGCTGCAGTGTCTGTGATACTCTAGTGCGGGAAAATCCCGTCTTGCGACTATCTGCGTTGGCGCATGAAGTGGAAACGCGAGATGACAATCAGCCCATTCGTTCCTGGGAAGAAATGATGAGTATGGCCCTCCCCACCTCCACGGCAAACGGTTCCCTCTGCGATGAACTCCTGCGGTGCCTTTCACAACGGCTGGAACAGAAGGTACGTGAGCAGTCAGGCTGTGACTCATCTACGCTCTCTTGTACCTCGACGACAGTAAGCGCGGCGGCTAACACGAAAAGGGGCAGTCGCGCATCTTATTTAGCGCGTTCCCCCTCTTCAAACACCCTGCTGGAGTTGCTTATGGATGTTGAGGGCGAGTACCCGCTTCCCGCGTGCCGTGCGGCGTTGCTTGGAAAGCCAGAAGGCGAGACTGCACTCCGGCAGCTGCTGAGCGCTGCCTCCACCGAGGCGGACAAAGCGACGAGTACGCATCACCCCGATGCAGCCGCGACGATGTCACAGGAGGTAAAGGAGTTACTGGATACCGTTCCGTGCATTCCGCGCCTGCGTGATGTCGATGGGGTGCTGGAGTGCGCTGCGTGCCTGCAGCAGTTTCACCAGGGATGCGTCTGCCCTCTGCAGCGAGAACCTGCCGAGGGGATTTTTTTGTGTCATGCATGCCGGCTCACACGTGGCCCACAGTTGTTGCCGCCACTCCGCTGCAGCTTCATCACGAATGGGGGGACAACTGCGGCATGAGACGGACAGGAGCTTATAGGCCTGACTGTGGCCCCAAGTTGAACGTGTTTCCGTCTCCATGCGTGCATGCGTGTGTCTGTGTGTGTGTCTGGGCGTCTACACCTCGTTGTGGCCTTCGCCAGGATGAAACGTGCGCCTGCACACATAATGCCGTTCGTTTTATCTTCCCGCGTATATATATATAATATAGATACATACATTGGGGTTCATGCGTGCGCTGGCGTTTTGCATTTTGTTTTATCTTTGCGCACTTTTCCGCCGTTCTGCTTATTATCCAACGTCGTGGTTTTCCCACAATTCATTAGGCGAAAGTGAGATACACACAAACGGACATCACCAACCTCGAAAAAAAAAATGACAACGATGGCGAGCAAATTAGCGACAGCGCATCTCACAGGGCCCAATTGCACTGCAAAGGACCCCAAGGCAGAGAATTTGTGCACAGGTGGTGGTGGGTACATGGCTGAGAGGGTGTACGCTGGCCCTCGCAAAAGCTCAAACTGCGCTTGAGCGACTTTGCAGCATGTATACGGCGGCGTATGCTGATCGTTGCCAATAGTGTGCGCCACTGAGCTCCGCCAGGACTGCCGTTACTTCAGCGGCAGTGCTTTACATTACTGCAACGCTGAAATCGCAAGGGACCATTGCGGATGCAGCAGGGGCCGTCTTGCTGCGATACAGTCACCAGTGACACATCAGATACGGGCATAAGGCATACGGATGCCGGATGCTGCCACGGTGATGGCGACGGCACTGCGAGGACTGCCGCCTTCAGTGAGCCTCCATCCACGTTTTTTTTTTTTCATTTGTTTGAGTGTGGCAGTGACACGAAGGGACCGTACTTCTCTGCTTGCGAGAAAATTTGCTTTTAAGTTTTTTTTTTTTTGTTGCTTTGCCGTTTGACTTTGTGTTGAATCTCTTTCTTCGGTTTGTCTTTTGCACGTGCGTGTGTTTGTGCATTTTGCCTCCGTTTGCCGAAAGCAGCGTCGTTGGGCGAAGTCTGAACGCGATGAGGGTTCCACGTCGCCCAACGGTGTGCTGCGGCGCGAGGTGCCGGGTTGGAGGGATGCGTCGTCTCGCGCGTGTCTGTCTCTGCCCTTCATGTACGACCGGTCATGTGGCTGAGGGCCGCGGCCCTCCCTGGGCGTGATGGTGGCGCTCAAGGCGAAGGCTGGTGAGGCATCTGTGACGTGATATTCCCTGTTTTTCTCTTGTTCCCTCTCTTCCACTTCCGCCTCACCTCCTCGCGGTGCTGTTGTGTGGGCTGCGAGGCTGGAAGAGATACACGAAGGAAAAGGAGTGAGAGAAAGAGAGAGGATCAGACCCATCGTTTTTTTTTTTTTTGTGTGTGTGTTGAATTATTTAACTGTGAGGTCAATAGCTTTTTTTGCTTTTTTTGCACTGCAGAGATGGCAGCTGCTGAGGCTCGCGCCGGCCGCCAGTCTTTCCTCGTGGTCTTTGACTTCGACCACACGATTGTTGACTGCAACTCCGATGAGGTGGTGCCGCAGTGTTTGGGGCGCGGCAATTTTCAACGCTCCCTGCTGGCGGCAAAGACGCCCATGCAGTCGACAAGCCTTATGGATGCCGTTTTGGCACCTTTTTCACGGGAGCAGATTGAGGATGCTGTGGCAAAGAGCGTCGTGATGGACGCGGGAATGCCCGACGTCTTTCGTTTTCTTCTTCAGCAGCAGCAGCAGCAGCACCGTGGCGCGCCAGGTGAGGGTGTTGCTAATTCCCTGCGAGTTGAGATTGCCATTGCGAGCGATGCCAATATGCTGTTTATTGAGAAGAGCATTCAGCACCATATCCCCTTTGCCCAGCACGCCATTGCGCAGATTCACAGCAATTCGCTTCACGACGTCCACGACGGTGGGGAGTCGCGCCGCTGTTGTGTCGGCAGGTACGAGTCGGCGGGTCACAATTGCCTCAGCTGCAACCGCAATCACCGCCCCAACATGTGCAAGAGCCGCATCATTGCTCGTCTGTTGCACGCCAGTCGTCTAATTGATCCCACCGTCATTTTTGTTGGCGACGGCGCGAATGATGTTTGCCCGGTGCTTCACATGTTGCGGCCGCGCGATTATTTTATGGGGCGTCGTGGCTTTAAGGCCCATTATTTTCTCTCAGACAAGCATAGTGTAGTGGGGGGTTGCTGCAGGATTGACTTGTGGTCGAGCGCCAACGAGTTACTGCAGAGCTTGAAACGCGCCATGGATCCTGCTGAGCGGTTGCCGGTGATGGTCCGCTTTCGTGACGTGGGTTCACAGGAGTTCCGCGCGGTGACGCTGCAGCAGCGCCTTCCGCAGATCCTCGAGCGGACGCTGAAGGAGAATAAGGCATACATAACAGCGGAGGCAACGCGGCGGATTTATGCTCTCGCTGAGGCGGTGCGAAATAACACGGCGGTGGCACCGCTTCCTGGTCAACAAGTGGTACTGCCTTGGCTACAGGGTTATGCCGCTGTAGCAGAGTTTGACCAGGACTCGCACGCATTGCCTCAGCAGCGGCAGGAGGAGGAGAAGGCGGGGAATGGTGCGGTTGTTGCCCCTCGCTGGGGGCAGATACCGTGGCTCCTGGGCGAGATTTACCTTTACAACCTTCTTGCACAGTACTTGCTGCTGGCGGAGGGTGGTGGCTGCAACAATACGAAGCCCACCGCGGACGAGTGGACCCCAAACATCATCACGCCGTATGTGGTATGTAATCCCATTGGCACCCACGACTGCCCCATTGCGACGCACGGGGTGCTGACAGCAAATAGCGCTACACCGGAGCTGTCATTTGACGCATCTTTTCTCGCCAAAGACGGGTCTACTTTTGGGTCAAACACTATTGTGGTGCAGGAGGGTAAACGCAGGTATTGTGACATCGCCGCTGGTGATGCTGTCGTACCGCGGCATGGATACTTTCTACCCTATTTCGACTTTTTTATACATGAAAAGCGTGAGGTGCTACACAATTTTTTGAAACCCAAAATATGCCCTATGCTTGCATGTACACCATGGGAGTCGGATGACTCCTTTGTTCCTGTCCTGCTGCGCTGGATGTTGTGGGGCAACAGCGTGGATCTCTCTACCTTTACACTGGGAGAGCTGCGAGAGAGCCACGCCGTGAATGTGGCAGGGTCTGGAAATAAGGACGGGAAGGGTGAGGAGTGTGCGAGGGAAAGAGGGTTTGAAGGGTCAGCGGCAAGCGCGACGGAGGGTTTGCGTCTGGCAGAGGCGAAGTCAGTGGCGGGGCAGGATGATTGCATCCTTGGCAACCAGGTGGAGGAGGTGGCACAGCTGATACGCCGCATTGTGCACACGGAGCCGAGGGAGGGTGCGGCACGTCCCCGCACAATTGATATTGTGATGGATAACGTGGGGGTCGAGTGCGTGGCGGACCTCATCCTCACCCTCTGGGTGCTGCATCACCACCCCTCGCTGCGTGTGACCCTGCACGTCAAGAACATGCCCTACTACGTTTCGGATGTGACTCCGCCGGACATTGCGTTCCTCATTGAGGAGTTGGAGGAGTGCGCGCGGCGCGAGCCTGCGATGGCGACGGTGCTGATGCCCTTTGTGCGACTTGTTCGTGAGTCCCTCGACAATGGCAGGCTAAGCATCGACGCCGACGCTGTGTGGACGCAGCCGTCCGAGTACCGTGAATTGCCGCCGAAGGTGTGCAACACCTTCTTCTACACGCAGCGGGTCTTGTCGGAGGCGGAGCTGCGGGAACAACAGCAGGTGCAGCAGTCAGCATCGTTTTCGTACGACGCGTGCAAGCGCTACACGGCCTACTCGGCGCTTGTTATTTTCAAAGGCGACCTCAACTTTCGCCGCCTCCTCGGTGACCGTCACTGGGACCGTCGCGCTTTTGTCTCAACGCTCGCCCCTGCCGAGCTGGACGCCTCCGCGATGCCGGAGCTTCTGTTTGCTGACACACCGCACGCCCGCAACGGTCAGCATCGCCCCACTCAGGCGGGCGAAGTTGCGGCGGATGAAATCATCAGCTTCCAGCGCATTGTGTCATCCTACTGGCCGGTACATGCCGTGCCGGTGTGTGCCATACGCACCTTAAAGAGCGAACTGAGCATCGGTGTGAAGGTGGCGCAGCAGGAGGCACTGGACCGTGTAGATCCCACCTGGAGGACGTCAGGGAAATACGGCGTTATCCTTCTTGCCTCTGGCAATCGATGAGGATAACGATGGGAGAGAGGGTAGTAAAGGACAAAATGAAAACGAATCATGGTGGTGCCTATATAGTAATTTCTTTGTCTCTCTCTGTGTGTGTATGTGTTTATTTGCATCTCTGCCTGGGGCGCGGATGTACAGGGGAAGGCTATGTTTTTTTTTTTTTTGTCTTTGATCCACACATACTTTGACGTCTATTGGCTGTTTTCCTGCACTTCAGATACTATAGGGAGTTATGTCAGAGGTTTTTGTCTTGACGCGTCCTGCCCACCCCGCCCTCTCGACTTCTCAACTTCTCTCCGCTGATTGTCTGCCACTACTCTCGGGTTTCATTACACGTAGCACACCAAAAAGGAAACGACACCTGCGAGGCGAGGCTCTCACAAAAGAAGGCCAAACAAAAGGGGCCGCTATGCACTGTACTGCCTAAGGTTACTGCCATCGCCTTGACAAGGCTTCTTCCTTTCTTTCTTTGGTTGTTTAGTTATTCTGTTTATTTTTTACTTTATTACAGGCTTACGTACATATACATTCTCTGTTGGTGCCATGCGGCGTGGGGTCGCGCTTCTCTGTGTGATTATTATCTGCAGAGTCCCGCTTTTGCGCCTCTTTTCAAACCATATCGTGTACGTCTCAGGAGTTGCACGCCGCCCCGGTGCAAGCCACGCACGAGGTGGAGCATGGTGGCAACCGGCTCTCCACACTGTGGGAGCTTCTGCGGAAGCCGCGGCTCGATGGGTGGGGGGAGGAAAGGGCGCCGTTGTTTGACATCGTTCCGCTTTCAGAGGCGTCTGCTATCTGTGACCAGATATCTAATGAGGGCAACGAAAGCGCCCTTGTGCTCGTGTACGCGCCGCAGCTGTTCCTACAGTACAACTATGCGCAACTGCTCCCGCTGCTGGCAGGGATGGCGGAGGACGTTCGTCTCATGCTCGAGTCAGTGGCCACCGCACGCCAGAGAGGAGGAAACGCCTCCGATCTCGATGGCGTTGCAGCGTTGTTTGCGGAACACGGGTTTCGGGTACTCGTGGTGGACGCGTCCTTTGTGGGTGAAGAAGCTACGTTTTTTTTTTTTTTTTGGGGTGAACGTGGACGAGGCGGTGCACATAACCTGGCGCCAGTGCCGCTTGCGGGCCAGTCTGGGAGGGAACTGTACGGGTTGTCGTTCTTGGAGGTGACGGCGGCGAGGGATGACGAGGACATGGGCGAGACGACGGCCATGCGTGACCTGGTGCATTCCCACGTGGCCGGGCTTCTTAAGAGTCTCTTGACACCTAAAGGGCACTCGCGCGGCACCTACACTGTACACCCCACCGTTCTGCTGAAACTGCGCCAGGGTGAACAGGCAGAAAACACCATGGAGCGGTTACTGTTGCGTGAGATTCCGCCTCTCTTGTTGTACCAGGCGATGAAAGCTCCTATGTACCTTTTGCAGATGTTACTTAGCTGCCGGAGTGCCACGCCGTGCTCGCCTGCGCATTAGCAACTTGGGTTGTTAGGCGCCGAGCGCCGCTGCAGCTGCATCGGGGGCCCAGAGAGTCCCCAGGAGGTTTTACAGTTTGTCACGGGTGAACTGCAGCAGATGAGCCTGGAGATGCTACGGAAGCGTCGCCAAGCTGCCGTAGAGAAGAGTTGTCGTCGCTCATGGAGGCGCATTGACGTCTCCGATGCACCCGATAAGGAGGTGCTCTTGACTGTATACGATGTGGGCAACGATGCCGACGACGTGGTGTTCAACGCTCCCATTCAGTACGCGGAGCTGAAGGAGAAAACCGACGAGGAAGTGGGTCGTGAGTACGTGTAGCCCATGCTTGCCAAGATACACTTTCTGCACCAATCGCGTGATGCCGTCCTCCTGCGTGAGGCACCTCAGAACGCCGAGGTGGTGCAGCGTGTGAGAAGTGTGCTACGAGAAAGGCAAACGAAGGACCTCAAAACGGGCGTGCTGCCCACCCACGGCGTCAGTCTGGAGGAGCGTCTTCGGGGGGGCGACAACGCCGGGGATGAGGAGGAGGAGGAAAATCGCCTGCTGCTCATGGAGTACCAGCGCTCCCATGCCGAGGCGGCGAAGCAGCTCCGTGATCACCCCTTTGGCCGCCTCGTTCGTTACCTCAACAAATGTATGGATCGCATCGAACTTTTGAGGAAAACTATTTGTGTGAATGAGGGGGCGCGGCACGGCGGCAGATGAGACGACTGTGCGCTTGCACGCCATGCAGCAGGAGCACCAGTGGAGGCTCGAGAATGCGGAGCGGTTTTTACGGGATATGCGGCGGGTGGAAGAGGAATAACTGCGGGCACGGCATAATTTTAAAAAACACACACACAAATTAATAATAATAATAATAAGCGAAATATTGAAATTTGTCGCAATTATTTGTGGCACTATCGTCAGTTTTACGATGCACTGGAAGCAGCCAAGGCGGTCTCTTCTTGATGCAGGGGATTGAGTTGTGCGGGTGGGTGGGGTGTGGGGCGGGGAATGTGTGTGTATGTTTGTGTTTGTTTGCGTGGGCGCCTCCTTCGCCTGTCTCCGCGTTACCATTGCACTTTACTTCTTTTTTCTTTTTTTTTACTTCTTCTCCTCCTCTTCCTCTTTTTTTCTGCTTCTCCGTGGCGCTGGACACCCCTTCCCTACGTGAACCTTCAGTTCGGGAGATGCGAGTGAAAACGGGCAAATAAGCGAGTAATTGACGGAATACCAACCCGTTTTTATTTTGATTTGCCGTTGTGTGTGGCTTTGATGGCTTGTTTGGGCGGGGTGCGTAGAAGGATGATGACATCCCCGCTGTCGCACGCGCTCTTCAGTGGTGCGACTGCTGTGCCAGGATCGGGTCTTTTTACCATTACAGGCTTCTTTATGGCGGCGTTTCTCTTCCTGCCGTGGTCGACGCATAAACGGCAGCTCATTTTTATGATAGCCGCCTTTCTGCTTGTGATGGGCTTTGCGATATTGTATTGGTGGTTGTCTCGGCAGAGTTCACCAACGGTGCAGCTGCAGAATGAGGATGCAGTGAACCAGGCTATTTTTCAAGATGACGGTGGTCTCTCTTTACAGAACCATAGAGGCATCAACGCCCAAGACCGGCAACATGAACAAGGGGAGGAACACTCGCGACGTATGCAGTTACTTTCTCACGGATCAGCTGGATACTGTTCCTCAGCGTCCCCATGCTACATGCGCTGGCACAGAGCTCTCCCGGCGATTGAGTTGTGCATTTTGGGTATTCTTGTAATTGTTTCCCCACACGTGATGGTGATAAACGAGGATAGTGTAGACAATATTGTGGTGAGTAGTGAGCGGATCTCTGCAGCGCAGCGCAGATACCCTGTGTCCAATGTCTGGAAGGTGAGTTTCCTTCATGCTTGGTTTCTTTTTGCGTTTAATATTCCCTTGGCCGCTGGCCTTGCCATTGGATTGGTGCACTTTGCGGTGCTGATGACGCACTTTAGACACCTGGGTTTTGGAAGCATGGCGACGTCGCTGCTGTGGCTTCTGATTCCGCTTTGTTGCATCCCTGTCGTTGCGGTGCAACATCGTCGACGACGTTTGCGGCAGCGACTGACCGCAGGTATGCTCAACACGGGTGGTGACGCGCTCTCCTCCGCGCCTCATGCGAGTAGTCATGTGGTTTATAATGAATACAGCCCGATGGAGGCCTTGCCTTCCCCACAGTATGCGGTGAGGCAGGAGGGCACATCGAGTGTGTCGCACCGCCAGGGATTGAGGGTGTCTCCCTCCATGCGGCCTGAGCATTTTTTTTCTACCACCTCTGCATTGCTGCCGTCACTTCACTGGAGGAATCACTCTGCCGCAGACGACATACTGGTCAAAGAACCACTTGACTCACTTGTAACGCGGCATGACGGCAGCAGTATTGCTTCTACTTGTGGGATTCAACCACCATATCTTTTGCTTAGTCCAAGTGGTGGGGTCATTCTTGGCGCTAGTGAGAGTTTTGCGGCTCATGTCGGGATGACGGTTGAGCGCCTTGTTGGCCAAACGTTTATGTCTGTTTTGGGGTGGTTAGAGGTGGAGAACCGGGAGGCATTGGAGGAGGTTGTTCAAAAAGTCACCGCCTTCTCGCACAACAGCATCGTTGCTGCAAGGGATGACGGAGACGGGGCAGATTGTCGCCTAGGCCCTGGGTGTGTGGATCGACGCTCGTTGCAAACGGGGTTGCGGGTGGAGGCGGAGACGGTCGTGGAATCTCAAGGAGGCGAGTATTCAACAGTGCAGGGCGGCCAGTCTTTGCCGCGCATGGGTGACGGTACGGTGCGGCGTATTTTGCTTCGAGGGCGCTGTCCGTGCCGCTCTTCCTCCACCGTAGTCTCACCACTGGTGGGGGACCAGGAAGTTTCTGCGCGAATCCATGCAGACGGTAAGGACGACGAGTTTTTTACCGTAGAACATAGTTTTGGAGGCGGCGAGTATTTTTGCCTCTCGCTAGATGTGTGGATGTGCCCTCGACAGGACTCCACCGGCGGCTTTCTTGTTCTTTGCCAGCCTCGCCTTCACTGCGTGCTGGATTGGACGCCATTGGCATGTTTTTTGGTGCACCCAGTCACAGGCTGCGTGCTGTACTGGAGTCGTGAGGCGGAGCGGCAAACAGAGAGGCTGGCGTATGAGATGTTGGGGTGGCAGTCACAGGCCATCCCCACTCCACACTCCACGGGCTTCGGGAGTCGTCACCACGATATAAAGTACGATAACATGGGGGGAAAAAAAGAAACAAGACGGCGAGGGACGCGGTTGGAGCCATCTTTACAAGCAATCCTTCAGTTACCGTTCCCTCCAGCTCTCTCTTTGTCTGTGACACTTCAACCACTTGCTGGGAAGTTTGTGGAAGAAGAAGAGGTGGCTTTGGAAGGCGCTGTGGCAGGTCTTCTGTGGCCTCCACTGCACTCTTTAACTCAGAGGAATACACATACTGCCTCGGATAGCCGCAGGGCGGCAAGCTACCCACCTGATGCGAGAGGAAGTTGCTGGCACAGGCCTTGTGTGGGTGATGTGGATGGGAACAAGACTCCATTTCCGCATCTACATTTACCTGAAAAACCACTGAACAATTTTGGCAGCCCGGTCCAGGAGAAAACAGGGTGGTGCTTTGCCTCGCTGGCGAGTGCTCGGGAAGACGCTTCTACATGGCTCTCTGCAAAGGTGCCGCTGCTGTTCACTATACACAGTGAGGTGAGCATGCCTTTTGGCAGCTCCACGCTAGAGCCTTGCGTGGAGCCGGGGCATGACAGTATGCATGCCTCTGCTGGAAGTCTGCCTGAGCACCAGACCGTTTTGGAGAACTTAACTCACCAGGTTGTGTGTGAGATGTTGCCCGCTTCATCAACAGGGGAGAATGGGGTAGAGAAGAATGTCTGCGGGATGCCGCCGCAGGGAGATGGATCCAACCAGGACACGAACCGACAGCCATCTAACGGAGTGTCGCTTCGAAGAGGAAGCTTGACTACGCATGCACTGCAGCATACTGAATCTGAAGGTCTACAACGAAACATCTGCAATGAGGATGAGAAGGACCCCGACGCCAAAGTCACGAGGGATGAAGCGCCTCTGAAATTGCCGCAGCTCTCAACACGCGCTGCTATTGGGTCTACACTGACTCCAGCGTCGTTGCAAGCATCCCTGCGCACTAGCCAACATGTTTCACCTATCCTCAGCAATGCGCGAAAGGCGACGTGTGTGGAACCCAATCTTTCCGGTGCGTGTGGAGGCGGCAGTGACGCAAATAGTGACAATTGTGACTATAGCAGCAAACAACGTGGAAAGCGCGACAGTGACAGTAGGGGATGCACGGCACTCACACCATTGGATGGGCGGAGTTCCAGCAAATTGAGAGATGTGCAGGTGCCACGACTTATCAGTCCGCTGCCACGAGAGCACCCAACGAGTACACGAGGAAATATTGAGGAGGCCTGTAGTGAAACGGTGCTCTTTGGAAAGCAGCTTGGCTACAATCCCCAACAGTATCCCCAGCAACCGTCCTATCCGCAACAACCTAAGCCTTCGCTGCTTTCACCTCAGCCCTTGGCGATCTTCCCTGCATTGTCATCCGCAGCAGGGTCGACCGCCCTGAGTGATTTTGCTACCACCCCGATCTCTAACGTGAATACTACCAATGAGGGGTACCCGATATGGGCAATGCTAAGGAGTGGCGACGAGGCAACTATTCCCTCTTGCGTTATCCGTGTGCCCCCTGGAGAGGGCTTCCTCTTTGGCCGCAGTAGCCAATGCCACGCCACTACCGTGGATGGGTTTGTTAGTGGCATCCAGTTCAAGATTGTTCGGCAACTCGGCTCGGAGCTTCAGTTGTTGCAACCCACCAGTCCGCGGGATTCGAGTCATCCCAATCTCTTAACGAATCCTACGCACACGTCGACTTTCTCCGGGCCTCATCCGACTTCCGCTGCACCAGGAAATTGGATCTTCGTCCTGTACGATCAAAGTGTCAATGGCACCTTCGTCAATGTGAGGAAGGTAGGTAATGGGAAGTGTGTAAACTTGCGTGATCACGATCTCATTACGTTCAGACTGAGCTCCTCACGATTCTTCTTGGGATTTCAGTTTCTACTCACAAATGAACAAGGGACACCGCTCTCGGAGCGGGCGGATGTGCCGGCGAAGTCCTCTGGCATGAACTCGTCAGCCGTATTGAAAGGGGCACGGCCGCTGCGTCACCGCACCTCCTCTGAAACTGGAAGTTTCTTCGCGGCATGTAACAGTCAACTGGGCGGTGGGGCGCAGAGCAAAAGCAACGGCGGTAGTAGTAGTCGACGACCCGCGTCGGCGACAAGAAGCCGCAGCAGCCGAGCCGGGGCTGCAGTGCAGCATCGTGAGACGATTGAATGGAAAATCGGTGAGGAGCTTCTTGGTAAAGGGGGAAACGCTGAGGTGTTCCTTGGCATGAACATGACCAACGGAAAACTCATCGCAGTTAAGCGCGTTCCGCTGCCCACCACCGCGTCCGAAGACCCAAATCACAAGGAGGGGCTCAAACAATACATAAGTCTGCAGGAGGAGATTAAAGTTCTCTCCAAAGCCATACACCCAAACATTGTGCAGTACTTTGGGTCCTCGCAGAACCTGCAGTACTTTAATATTCTTCTTGAGTTTGTGCCTGGGGGATCTTTGCGTCATTTGCTCGATAACTTTGGGGCCCTCAGCCCGGGGGTGATATGCTCCTACCTGCGGCAAACACTGGAGGGCCTGCACTACCTGCACCAACACAACTTGGTGCACTCCGACGTAAAGGCAGCGAACATACTCGTCACGGAGAAGGGCCGTGTGAAGCTGTCCGACTTTGGTACAGCGAAGCTTCTCAACAGGCAACATAGTCAGTCGGTGGATCGGGATGGCAAAGCGGAGATTGTTGATGGCAGTGACACCGCAACCTTTCGGCTCGCGGGCACGCTGCGGTGGATGGCGCCAGAGTTACTCCGCGGTGGCGCTGGACCTACAAAGGCGAGTGACATTTGGTCTGTTGGCTGCACCTTAATCGAGATGCTTTCAACTGAGGCTCCTTGGAGTGAGTACGACTTCGAGAGCGAGGAGCAGCTCATGAATCTACTCAAGTACACCACCGAACCTCCAGAGGTGCCGGAGTGCGTTGAGCTTCCCGAACTAACATCCATTGCAAGGCGGTGTCTGACGTTTGACGCAGACAGCCGTCCAACGTGTGCGGAGCTGCTGCAGTTGGTTCTGGAGGCAGCGAAGCGGTACCAGGAGCAGCAGGCGCAACTCTCATCACCGGCGGATGTGTCCCGTGTTCCACCAGCCACCACCACCTCTGCGGCCCTTCCTTCTGGTGAGGGGGCGGTGGTGGGTGCTTCTGTGCGGCTGAATAGCAAGCATGAGGGGAGGCCGCAGCATCGCGACCCGCAGGAGGCGACAGATGTGACCGTCTCGAAGGGTCGGGAGTGAGGTGACTGCTCACAGTGGCCGAGGCGGGTCGTTAGGGCGACGGAAGTGCGTGCTCAGCCGCGCCAACCTCTGGACATGTGCGTTTTTTATTTGCTGCAGGGCGGACAATTAAAACAACAAAAGAAAAAAAAGAAGAGGGGAGCCCACAAACAAAAACAACAGCAACGACAGAACGTGTGAAGGCACACTGATAGAGAAGGGGGTGGGGAAAAACAAACAAAGCGAAGTTGGAAGCAACAGCAACAACAAAACAAGAATACAAACAAATAAACGACAACGACAACGCAGTTGATAGTGCGGGAGGATAGGGACATAAAGTGTTGCACGCATGATGCTCGATGTGCACATGCGAGTGTGTCAGCTGTGTAGATCATTTCATGGGCAGGTATTCATGACACATACACACACACATACAAAGTGAGAGGCAAATAAGATGGTGGAGGAGTGCGCCCAGGTGCTGATGCCAACACAAGACGTTGATGTTAATATATATATTTTGTTGTCTCTCTCTCTTTTTGTTTATATATATATATATACGATAAAATATGTAATGTGGGTTCTTATGAATGAACAGCGATATAGGAAGATACATTTATTCATTTTGTAGCAATACACACTCAATCAGGGACGATAGAGGACTGAGAGCGACTTCTGTGGTCTCTGCGTAATGACGGCATTTGATAATGACGAAAATACGCTGAGCATAAGTCACACACCCTTGCCCATGGCATTGCCGTTTCCTTTTCAGTTTGAAAGCGTCGTGCCCAGGCCACCATCAACGGTTTGGGATTACGTGCTGTCACTGCTCTGGATGGTTGGAAAGACGTTGGGCCTGTTCCTCTTTTTATTGTTCTCTGCCCCAGTTTTGCTGCTGTTGCATTGGCTTCTTATGCTGCTAGACCGGCGCAATAGGCGAGCCGTCCTGCGGCACCAGCAGCTGTGGTCGTTCAAGAGCGTGCCGCACGTGCGTCCGGTGCGGGTCGCTGCGTCACGGGAGTTTCCTCTTGAGAATTGGCACCTGCGCTGCGAGGATGGTCGACAGCGGTGGTGCTACGGCGAGTTGTTGAACGAGGAGGAGGGCAATACACTCGGCAAGATGCAGGCCGCAGGGTTGGCGTTTTTCCCGTCCAGGGACGTTCCCATGGTGGGGGAACACTACGAGTGGGCTGCGGGAAACGCCGTCTCGCCGACGCAGGAGCCAGACATGCGGGCGATCAAGGAAAAACGGCGCCGTTTCGTGGAACAGTACCAACTCGGTCTCAAGACAACAGTGGAGGTGCGTCGACGTGCGTCGTCGGAAGACGCCGTGAGGGACGGGGTGGAGTTTCTCCTTCAGTTGCAGGATCCGTACTCCGGACACTGGCCAAACGATTACAGTGGACCACTGTTTTTGACCCCTGGTCTCATTTTTGTCAAGTTCCTGATCGCGGGTGGGGATCTTCATAAGATGTTCCTCCCGCACAAGGACCATCATCACAAGGATGACAAGCCGTGTTGTTGCGGGGAGGCAGCACGGTTGGAGTTGATACGCTACCTGCGTAACTACATTAACAAGGACGGAGGCTTTGGGCAGCATACGGAGGGGCATAGTACGATGCTCGGGACGGTGCTTAACTACGTTGCTTTGCGCCTGATGGGTGTGCCGGCCGAGGATGCCGATGCTGCAGGGGCGCGGGCGTGGATACGTGGTCATGGCGGTGCGGTTTCCATCCCAACCTGGGGCAAGGTATGGCTGTGTATTGTGGGTCTATACAGCTGGGATGGCATTAACCCCATTCCTCCGGAGCTTTCACTCCTGCCAAATTGGGTTCCGTTGTCTCAGGGACGACTATGGTGCCACAGTCGCGTCGTTTCCGTGCCCTTCTCTTACCTGTACGGTACGCGATGGACGCCTAAACCTCATCCCCTCTTGAGACGTCTTCGCCAAGAATTGTACACAGAACCATATCATCAAATATCATGGGAACAACACCAGAGTAACATCTGCAAGTTGGACTGTTACACACCACTTTCCTCTACATACAAATTCACCGCGAAAATGTTTAAATTATATGAAAAGCTTCACAGTAAGGCTCTCCGCAGGTATGCGTTGGAGGTGGCCTGGTCCCATATTGCGTACGAGGATGAGGACACCAATTTTATATGTCTTGGACCTGTAAACAAATTATTGGATATGCTTATTACATGGATTCGAGAGGGCGAGAGTAGTGGACGTTATCAGAATCACCTCACTCGTGTAGATGATTATTTATATATGGGACCAGAAGGAATGCGTATGAGCGGTTACAATGGATCCCAGCTGTGGGATACTTCTTTTGCTGTACAAGCCATATGCGCTGGTAGCATGGAACTTTTGTACCCACAGGAGATGGACCTCGCCCATCACTATGTGGATATTGCGCAGGTGCGGAGGGACCCCAAGGCAGCGGCCTCCTTCTACCGCCATCGTACAAAGGGTGCATGGAATTTCAGTACCGCGACACAGTCGTGGCAAGTGTCAGACTGCACTGCGGAGGGTCTACGTGTGATTCTGTTGTTGCGTCATAGACCATTTTCTGTCTCCCGCATGCGTGACGCTGTGGATGAGATTCTTTCACTACGAAACAAGAAGGCTGGTTGGGCTTCCTACGAACCCATGCGTGCACCGGCCTATGCAGAGCTTTTCAATGCGGCCGATGTGTTTAAGGATGTGATGACGGACTACGGCTACGCTGAGTGCAGCAGCAGCTGTATCCACACCTTGGCTCTCTTTCGTCAACATTACCCGGGGTACCGACGGACGGACGTCAACACTGCCATCCGCGAGGGTATACAATTCGTCTTGTCTTTGCAACGACCCGACGGTAGTTTTTACGGGAGCTGGGGGGTTTGCTTCACCTACGCGGCGTGGCTTGTGGCCAGCGCACTTTGCATCTCCCGTGAGATTGCTGACATGGCTAATCACCCATCCTGCGTGCGTCTCATTGACTTCTTGCTTTCCCATCAGAATGCCGACGGAGGTTGGGGCGAAGACGTTACCGCCTGCATGCGTTCACTCTGGGTTGATAGCCCGAGTGGCAGCCAGGTTGTGAACACTGCCTGGGCGGTGATGGCAATCATGTCAGCCGCCGGGGAGGCAGCTCGTGTGCCGCCAAAGCGGCGGGAGCAAATCCGTGTCGCTGTGGAGCGGGGCATTCACCTTATCATGTCGAGGCAGCTTGTCACAGGGGACTGGGCCCAGGAGCGCATCAGTGGCGTGTTCAACGGCAACAACCCGATTAACTACCCGGGGTACAAGAATACGATGCCGGTATGGGCGCTGGGGGCGTACAACGCCTGGAAGAAAACCTACACCGTCCCACGGTACCACAGTATCAGTCTTCCGGGTGCATTTGGGCTTGCGGGGAATAACTGAAGAAGTGAGGGCGGCCGCCAGTGGCGGGACAAACACGTAGCAAACAGGCGCAGCGGCGGCAATAGTAATCAACACAGGGTCAGATTGACGTGTGTATACGAAACGGGTGTCAGTGGGGTTCTTGTGGAAAGAAGAAGGAGATAAGGGGGGAGGGGTAGAGAGGCGAGGGTGTTTCAGTCTCACGGAAACTTACACAAAGTTAATAAGCCCCATGATTGACCACAATCAAAAATGGAGGAGAAACGGATGCATGATCAAAATGTAAGGGGTACGGAATAAAGAGGGGAAACAACAGCAACAACCAAAAGAAAAGCAAACGCGCGCGCGCACACACACACACGCAGAGGAATATACGTGAGAAAATTAGAGGAGAAACGTGGATGACAAACGAGGACGGAGGCAAACGGGCGTTCTTGTTTCCCATTTCTGCTTGGGAAGCATACTAGCGGAAGGGTCTGGCCTTGCGTGTGTCTGGCCGAGGTGCCCGGCAACAACTCCTCCTCTCAGTGTTATCCCACTGCGCATGATTTGTCGGGAGAGGGAGGCACTGGGGGCCCGCCCCGCCTCCGCTCGGGAGGTGGCGGGCAGAAGGCGTTTTTAGCGCGTCTGCCTTTTTGCTGCCACCTAATTGCGGTAGAGGCGACAAGGAGTCGTACTGGATTCGCTCTCGCCCTGTGCGGGGCCGAATGAATGCCTGCATACGCCTACAACATGTAGGTGCGATCGCGACGACAGCATGATGTGCTATTTCTCCCTTCTCATCTTTTTATTAAAGAGAGCAGTGAAGCCTAAACAACTCTGTTTTTGCCGGTGGGCCTAGCTGCGCGCCCACGTGGTGGCGTTATTGCCTCCTTTTTTCTTGCCATTATATATAATCCCGGGGTATTTGGTTTTCTTGACTCTTTGTGCTCCGGATCGCTTTTTTTTTTACGTTTTGCTTCCTCGTTCCTACCGCCTTCTGTCTACCCATCTGTCTTTTTCATGCCACACCTCCCCTGTCTTGCGTGCAGACGGCACACACACACACGATGCTGTGCAAAGTGGCGCCAAAGATGAATGCTGCTGAGGATGCCTTTTTTTATATATTTTATTTTCTTTGCTTTGTCTGCCACTCAGTACCCGCCTCCCAGTCGTCTTCACTGAAGTAAGTCACAAATACATAGCGAGAAGGAGAGGCAAATACGGCCGTCTGGAGCGGGAGGGTAGTGGAACTCCTCACGTAGCCCTTTTTTCTTTCTTTATTTTTTTTTTCGGCTTCTCGCCCACTCGCTGCCCCAGTAAAAGTGCGCTGTGTATCGGATTGTCTGTCTGAGTGAGTGTGTTGGAGCAAACGGACAGGACGCACTTGTGTCAGACGGGATACGTCTCGGCTGTGAGAAACGTAGGCTCCCACACACGCGAAGGGGATGGGCTGCTCCAATTCCAAGAAATCCAAAACCAAAGGGGACGCACTAGACCTTCATAAGAACAGTTCAGCAGGTGGAGGAGGTTCCGGTTCCTCCCACGATGCTAGGAGCCCACCCAATACACCTAAAAGGAGCAAGGCACCCAAAACCTCCTCCATGAAGCAGAAAGCTAAGGCAATGGAGCAGAAGGATGAGGTGAAAAACAGGAATGAAGTTACTGTCGAGAGTCCCGAAACGGGGCCTTCCTTCTCCATCCGCGGAGCACCGTCGTGGGTACGGCCGCTTCACGCGGTGGAGATTTCTCGAGCGAATGACGGTCATGAATCTCCATCAATGCCGGCCCTTCAAGCCGTTGAGGTTCATGAGACACGAGTCATACACCCACCGCCCTCAACCCGAGTACGGGCATCTGGCGCAGAGCATTACGCTGTGCGGACTAGAAGTGACATGCATGTTTTGTCATCACCCATGGTCGCGTCGTTGGCGTCGTCAGAGTTGGATCTATACTTGTTGCACCCTTCAGCGAGACCTCATCGAGGCTCGGCCGCTGATGTAGCTCTTTTTCAAGAGCGTCCGCTGCCCATACTGAGGCCTTCCTCGCATCTCCCGAGATCGCTGATCACTGATCGCTTGGGAAAAAGGCAACACCTGTCCGAGTTGGAAGATACCTTAACGACGCAGAATTCACGTGAAAAGACGACGGCGTTTCTGAGCGGTGTTTCTGCTTCGTCGACTGCGTCAACGCCGACGCAATCCACGACGTCGACGTCCTTGGTAGAAAAACGACATTCCCTGTACGAACCACGGGATATGGCACCCATGTGCGCTGCAACACTGCCACCGATGACCTCGTCCAGTCATTCTCCGAAGAGTGAAAAACCAACCGAGTCTGGGGTGGAGCCCCTGTGGGGAACGAACAGCAAGGGATGGGAGGTCCTGGAGCAGATCCGCCTTCTTTTGCATGTGCGCAATTCACGCGTGACGTGAGTGTGTGTGTGTGTGGCTCAGTAGTGGCGGTGAGTCAATGTAAATGGCGGGGGTGTGGAGACGAGGGGGCATCTGCGCCAAGAGGAGGAGAAGGGGGGAGGGGGAGGATGAAATTGAGTGCTCGTGGGACAGTGCACGTCTTGTGAAAGGCCGGAATTCGCCGGAGGGGGAGCATCAACGGTGACGACGACAAAGGCGACGTGGCGGAGGAGAATGAAGGGACGTGAAGCAAAAAAAAACAAAACAAAAAAAAACGCACGCCACACCATCGCCACAACAATACGGTTTTTGTCGCGTCATTGGGAGCGGCATTGGTTTCTTCCGCCGGTTTCTTCTGCCTGCATGTATATAATTTGTTGTGTCATACACGCGCAGTGCAGCACTTGCCAGGGATGCGGATGAGGTGAGGGGAACGAAGGAACGGCCCACCCGCAGACATTTATAGACTTCTTTGTGTATGCGTGGAGCCACGTGCATAGATGCATTCGTGTCAGTTGGCGCCGTCGGAGATGATTCTCGCCACGGCAACCCTCAACCACGCAAAACAAAAACAAAAACAAAAACCAGGTGCGCACTTCTTCTTCTTTACCTCTTTGCTTTCTTATTAATTTTCCTTTCTAGCCTTTTTTTTTTGCATGTGTGCGAATGCGTGCAATTGTACTTTCCACGTTTTTTTTTTTTTGTTTGGTACGTTGTATTTCACTTCTTGCAGTGCGCCCATGCGTCTCTGTGGTGCCCCACACTGCGTGGTGCGGGGAAGCAGGGCAATAAATGGTGCAAGAAGAGTTTAGTGCGCTGTAAGGCGTGGAAGGGGCATGCACGCATCACACATATTAACTGAAACTATATCTTTTATACTTGCTTTCATTACTGGATGAGTGTTACCATGCCGTTAGGTGACGGCGGCCAGATGAGCTCCAGCTATTCACAGAAGGGGAGGTCTGGACGACTTTCCTGTCGTTATGGGTCTTTACGACAACGACGACGACTGCTACTACTGGTGCTGGGTCTATTTTACGTCTCTGTACGCAACTTTATATATGTGCTTATAATATGCCTGGATGTATGGAGGAGTCGTGTCGTTGCTGTGACTTAAGTCATCATCATCACCCCCTTCTTTTTTATTATTCTTCCGTTCAAAGTAACATCACAACCATTACATGCATGCACGTGTGCAGGTGTGCGCTTCCAGTGGCCGATGCGGCTATTTGTCTTTTTTTTTTTCCTTCTGTTTACAAAAGCATGCGGGTACCTGTGGACACTGCAGCCCCGCAATTACACGCATCAGTAGGCACGGTAGCGACAGTAAGAGCGGATAGGCCCAGCCACGCTCACTCACGCATTCATTTAAAAGCAAACACACAATCAACGGCGAGGCTGTCTGTAGATCAAGGGCGCAAGTAGGGAAAAAGGATTAGAGGGCGAGCGGGGCGCAGATTGCGTTTCTAGCAGCAACAGCTACAATAATAATAACAATAACAATTTGTTCCGAGGTATCAAAACAACGAAACCGTAGCGAAAGAAGGCCAACACACGCAAAAGGAGAAGGAAGCAAAAAAAAAAAACAAACAAACAAAAAAAAACTAAAAAAAAACTAGAGCAACACTTGAAAACCACAGGGTGATGTGAGTGGAGAGCAATGGGTAACTGCTGCGCGTCATCACCAATGAGGCCAAAGCCACAAGAGGAACTGCTGAAGTACGGGCCTTCCCGTGAGGTAGCAGTGGGAGTTGGAGAAAGTGAGGGAACGGCAGTAAACGTGCGACAGAACGGCAACACACCGCTGTCCATTACGAAAGATGCTCCGTTAAAGGCGGTGGAGGATGCACAGGAGTTAACGGGCATGGTGAAGGAAATGGACAGCATCAGAGGCGAGTCCCCCAACGATAGGGCTTATTCTGGTGCTCAAGGAGTTTTGTTGAGCCCTCTCACAGCATCGCAATTGGAAATCGTAGAGCCAGCGTTCAGGTGCAGCATGTCGGACGATGATTGTGTGGACACTGTGTTTGATGACTCAGAATTCCTAACGGCGCAAAGCTTGCCTTTGAGTCTCCGCCAGACGCTGGGGCCGGGCATCTCTGTTGTGCCGTCCGTGGAGGCGAATAGTGTGGATCTGGCCAGTGACTTGTTGGCCATGAGCGGGTTATTCATGTCGTGCCGCAGTTTTTGCCGAGCGACCTCTCCACTGACTAATGACACTCAACTCACGCAGCGGTTGCCGAGGGAAGACCAAATGCAGCTTCCAGTGCTATGCGGCGCCCCTCCGCTCACTGACGGTATGTCTGACACGGCCTTTATGTCGTGCCGCAGTTTCTACTCGCCGACACCGCATCCACGGGACAAAAAAACATTGAGCTCGTTTGGGATCTCCTCCCACATGCGGAGGGGTATGGTGAATCTCAGGTCTGCATTTCAGTGCACACGTAGCGGCAACACTTTCGAGCGATTTTCAAGCGTGGGGATTTCATTGTCAGCATCAGGGGCGCCGGAGATGCAGTCCCTCTCCCACAATCAAAGCTGTATTTCGGAGAGCGCCATGTTTTGCTCCTGCATTTCGATTCTAGACACCCCTCTTACTGAGGATGGGTGCAGCGTACGAGGCGCCACACCCCAACTCTTGAAGGCTCATGGTGAAGCCACCGTTCAGGAGCCTCCGGACTTCCAGCCTCCGTCATCTTCATTGGAAGCAGAAACCGTGCCCGCTGCGGTACGGCAACCGCGAGTACAGCAGTTACGAGGCCCCGTGCAGCCGGGGATGACAGCGTCTGCGCCAACCTCCGCTCATTGCGACCCCCGTAAACATTGGAGTAACACCACACACACCACATCATATGCCGCGTTCCGTTGGAGGAAGAATCCCGCCATTCAGCAGAGTTCAGGCCCATTGTTAGTCACACGAAGCCACAGTTGCGAGCTGCATAGGTCATGTCCCAAAATTGCCTTTTCATCAGCGCGAAAACGGAAGGAACGTTTGGGTGGGAGGCGTGGGTCGCAGCCGCCGAAGCGTGTGAGAGATGGTTTATCTGTTCCATTTGGCCAACAGTACTCCTGGCCAAAGATGAATGATATACAGAACAAATCGGTGAACTTCTCGTTGTCGCCCCATACACAGGAACAAAAGGCCACCAGTACGAACCTCAACGGGTTGCAGCGGGTGGGGGTGTGGGGGCGGCACGAAGAGGAGGAAATCGAGGGGACCAAAAAGAGGGAGACGGCGCAGGAGGGCGATCAAGGGGAAAAGAACGACAACCTAGTGGAGCGGCGGCTGGAGGATCAGCTCACTGAGGACGTTGCTGAGGCAGCACGCGGACGCGGTGAGAAGGCGGAAGGATCCTTCTCGACGGAGGGAAAGCTAGATTGTGCCGTGCTGAAGGAGGCGGGAGAAAGTGACAACATATCGCAGGCGACGAAGACGTGTGAGGCGCTTCACGCGGATGAATCTTCCCCCAGCTGCGTTACACATGTGACGGACGATCCTGCCTTTTTGGGGACACCTCTGGTGAGTTCCGTGCAGAGTGTGCTCCATCTGACTGGAGAGCTTGGACAAAACATGTGTTTGGAGGAGCAACCGGCACCCACAGAACTTAGCAGGACGACGCAGATGGCCTCATCAAGTCACAGTAATGGGCATCACGTACTGGAGGCCCACACTTTGTCTTTTCTCCCCATCCTCTCCGCGGCCACCTCCAGGTGCAGCACCAGCAATGCGCGGGCGGATGCATGCATGAATGGCAATGAAAATTTGGTGAACACGGTGGGCGACGCGGCGATTTAGGAGAAATTCGCAAACGATACGGAGAAGCAGCATGCAAACGATAACACCATGACGCCTCACAGCCTAACAGCCATCGCCTGAGAAGCTGCAAGGCAGCAAAGTGAGCCGAAAAAAAAAAAGAAAGAAACGCAGGTAGAAAGAAAAGAGGACGAGAAATATCCGTCGAAGCGCCCCTCTTCTCAAACGCATTTGTTTGCAATGCTATTTTAACATGCACGCAGGAGACAACCCCTCAAAGCAGAAAACGTGATGATGGCGGACTCAACTGCATCGACATATGTTGTGCATGCTTCTTGCACTGGTTGCCATGGGAGAACAATATATATATATATATTGGGGGCTCTCATTGCTGTAGGGTCTTTTTTTTTTCTTATTATTATTATTGATCTTTATGAGCTTTTTTAAATATATATATATATATATAAATAAATAGATAAATATATATATATATATATATATATCATTGCATCAATAAACGATTTACACCTTTTTTTTTCTGGCAGTGCTTCTAGAAACACATGCATACATGCATCCCCATGCCTAAACTTTGGAGGATGCGCTCACTCAATTAGGATGAGAGACGTAACAATTCTATAAGAATAATACTCACAGTCGCCATTGATGGTAACGTTGATGGTTACTGCTGCAGCTACAGCTGGGCCCTAGCAGTGTCTCTGTGTGTATGTGTTTTTTCAGATAACATAGGAACCTGTTGAGTTGGTTTTGTTTGACCGCTTGTCTCGGTTCAACATACAACCGTATTGGGAGTCTTTTGATGCTTACTATCCTCTTCTTATCTTTGCTTTATAACCCACACCCTTGTCACCCCCTCC